CACTGACACACTCCTGACTGGACTGGAGACACTGCTGTCCCTCTCCTCTCACACTGCCCCTGAATTCTCGAGTACACACAGAGCTCGCACCGAATTTGCATGAGAGCTACAGTGAGCGAATTGTAAAGAAATACCCCCATACTTTCCAGGCAACAGCTACTGCCGTTGGTGTGTGTGTGTGTGTGTTTATTTTAAAGGCAGACATACATCTTCATCTTTTTATTCGGTCCCGTTCGGAATGAACAAATGCGACAACGGAATTCCCGTGCGTGTTTCACTTGGACAACTGCACGGGGAGAGGGTCCACGCTAGTCCACGCTCGCACGGTGCGTCTTCCGGGCGCCGGACGCGCACACAGACCCGCCGGGGCTGGGCGACCCCGTGTTTCCCCCGTGTCATGTCGTCGTGCGTGGGTCTGCTCCCCCCCCATCCTTCCTCTCCGCCCCGCGCGGTCGCTCTCACCCTCACTCGCGTGTCACGGCAGTGCCAGTCTGGGCGGCCTCCTCACAGCGCTCTCGCCGCTGCCGGATCGCTCCGCGCTCGCCGGATTCAAGTAGTCCCTCCCTCCCTCTCTCTCTCTGCTTTTCCCAACCAGATTGATCGGCTGCGGAATCAAGGATTCGCTGGGAGACCCTCGTCAGGGGTGCCTCAGCTCTCTAACCCTCTAGTCTCGCTCTTGGCCGCTATCAACCGAAATGGAGGGCCTGTCCTCCCCGTGCCTTTTGAAAAGGTGGCGTACCTGCTGCAGCGTGGGCACTGTTGAACACCGCGCTGCCAAGGGAATCACACGCCGCATCGTCCCACACAGTGGGAGAAGCGATCGTGATGCGCTGAAAAAACAAAAAAACACCCCAAACCCCCATGTGTCCCCCCCCCAAGCCGCTCACGCCCGGAGGAGAGGGACTACTTCTTCCTGGAGTGGAAGTTGAGTTGGGGAAAGAGCGGCGGCGGCGGCGGCGGCTGGGGGGGGAGGAGGCGTGCTGCGGCCGCCCGGCTGGCGCGAGCCCGGTGCCTGGCCGTGTGTCTCGGGCTCGGCACGGGAGGGCTGCGGCGCGTGCGGCTGGCGAGACCATTGTCTCGGTGGAGGGGGAGTGTGTGTGTGTGTGTGAGGCTCAGCAGCAGCAGCAGCAGCACCAGCGGCGGCGGCGGGAGGGGGGAGAGGAGGAGGAGGAGGAGGAACCGGTGCGTTTCCGCGCCCCCGGGAGCGCAGAAGGGAGACGCGGCGGGGCTCCGGTGTCTCGCTGCGCTCTGACCGAGAGCGGAGCCGGGAATCCGCCGCCGAGGTGGAGAGCGCACAGCCAGCCCCTACACCCCCCAAAACACTGAGAGAGACAGAAACTTAACAGACAACTTGCATCCGAGGAGGAGCGAGAGAGAGAGAGGAGGAGGAGGAGGAGTGTGTGTGTGTGTGCGGGCAAGGGGAGGCAGGGCAGAGAAAGGTGGGTTTCTTGCCTCCAGGACGCCGGCTGAAGCCCACGCTGGATTATGCCGGATAACCCCCTGTAAATGAGCAGGGAAGGCGGCGACCGCGGCAGGAGCGAAGGCAGAAGGAACGGGAGGAGGAGGAAGAGGAGGAGGAAGGGGGAGGACAAGGCAGGGGGCAGCGCCGTCCGGTCCTGGGCTGACAACCGCCACGGGGTCCCGGCGTCCGGGTGCGAGTCGCAGGGGGACACCGAACCGGTACGGAACCGGCTCCCGCGCTCCCTCCCAGACTCCGTTCCCTCCTTTCCAGGGGTGACCGGGTCTGACCCCGGGTTGGCGTTTTGGGGGGGGTGTTGAGGCGACGGGGGGGGTGGGGGCAGCTGGCTGCGTTATCAATTGATTGCATTTTTACAGCGGGGGTCTCCTCGACCAGCAGCACACAGACACCCCAAGTTGGGGTGCACCTATCACAATCCTTACCGTTGTGGGGCTCCCCCCCCCCCCCAACTCCCCCTCGTTATCTGGCCGAGTCCCGGGCAGAGAAGGAGACGCTCATTCTTGGAAGTGTTTTGTTTTGGTAGCACGGCGACAGGGAGAGCGGATCGGGGACGGGCGCCGGCGCGACTTCTGGCATCTTACTGCAGGCGACCCGGCTCGGCAAGGTAAGGCACCAGCTGCCCGTCCGGGACCGGCCCGCTGCCTGCCCGATCTCTAACTGCGCGGCTCGGGCTTCGTGCTGCCCCCGCCGGCCTGAATTTCGGGGATGTGACATTTAAACTCGCGATGCGCTGGGGGCAGAACGGGGGGGTTGGGTTTGAGGCAGCGGTTCAAAAGCTTGGGAACTGAGGACGAGGACGGGACATCACAGCCGGCAGGCAGCTGCTCTGTCTCGGTTCCGTCTCCCTCACCCTGCGGTCCCCGGCTCGGCTCGGATAGCCCTCTCCGGTCCAGCCACCCCCTGTCTCTCTCTCCGTCCGGGAGTCGGGCTGCAACGGGGCTCCTTCCCGGAGATCGCAAGGTTGTTGGTTGGGCCCCGGTTTGGCCCCCTTTCTGCCTCTTCCTCCGTCGACTGGGAGAGCCGCCCGTACCGAGAGAGCGCCTGGGGGGGGGTCGGCGCAGACAAAGCCGGGCGCTGCAGGCTGGAGGCTGGAGGCTGGTGGCTTTCGGGCACGGCGCCGCACCGGCCGGGACATCCGTGGAGTTGCGATGCCTCGGGCTGTGTTTCTCCGCCGAAGTTGGGGGAAAGTTCAGCCCGGGTTTCGGGTGACCCGCCTGGGGGTCGGCGGCCCCAGCTGGATCTGCTGTACCGGAGGAGGCTGGTGGTGGTTGGTGTTGAGGGAGGGGGGGGTCGGGTCATTGTGTTGCCCTGGCGACGGTGTCGGTTGGTACCGTTAACGCTCCGGTTCAAATCCGCCGGTTTTCGGATTTCGAAATAAACGCGGGGCTCCGAGGCGGGAGGTACGAGCCAGCTTGGTCGCCACGGACGGTTTCTCGCACCGGGTCCACCGCCTCTCCATCGATACGTTCAGGAAAAAGCTTCTTTTTTTTTTTTTTTTTTTATTGTTTTGGGCCGGCCGGCCGGCTGCCGTCTCCGGGGTAGACCTGCAGTTGCAGCTCCTGGCCACGGTGGCGTCGCTGAATGGAGTCCTTGTCGATCTCACAATGACCCGGAGCCCTTTGTCTCCCTGTGGTACTTTTCCACACTGTGGCCGGCCATGACGATCCTCTGCCTCTGCCCGGGGCACAGCCCTGGAGATGGGATTCGGAAGGCCAGATCTTAAAACCCAAAACAACAAAAATTGAGATCTGCAGACGCGTTGTTCGGGGGAAGCGGGGCTGGGGGCCGCACGAGGGGGGGGGCGATGGGGCTCGGACGCAGGGCTGCTTTTCCAGGGTCCGGGTCGGTACTGGGACAGCTGGGTCACAGGGATGGGTGTGTCCACGCCCCCCGTGCGAGAAGCACCCGAGTTCAGAGAGTTGGGTGGCACAGACGTGCCACTAATTGAACACCAGCTTGGCCAAGTCTATACCAGCATGCACCTGTGTGTGTGTCTACCCAACCTTTCTCAGGTCAACGTTAGCACGTAGCCAAAACCTTACACACACACACACACACACACACACACACATATAGAGCGCACTTGATCTAACGTAAGACCGTTCCGCACGGTCAACCGGTCCAACACCGGAGCAGCGAGGCCTGGGCGCGGTGTCTCGGTGCATCGTGGGTAACGCGAAACGTGACGTTTCTGGCTCACCCCCCTGTTGAGATGGGGGAGATGGGGGCCCCCCCGTCCACTTGAGAAACGGAGCAGTCCCGGCACGCCTGGGGGGTCCAGACGTTGCTGCCGTCTCTGATGGATGCCTGTTTGTTTCGTTGTTGTGTCTGGTGTGCGTCTGTGGGGGTGTGGCTGCGATGGTACAGGCCATGCCTTCGGTAATGGAGCGATCCGGAGGAGGGGTGCTGTCCCGGAGCCGAGCCAAGACTGTCACTAACGGCAACAGCCAGCACAGCGAGGAGGAGAGCAGCGATGAGGAGCACGCTCACGGTAAACACCGGACCCCCACTGTCTGGCGGGGGGAGAGGGGAGGGGGTGGGCTGGGAGTTGGGCACTAGACAGTCCTGGCTCCTCGGGGGTTAAAGCGCAGAGACTGGGGGAATTCGTCCTAACGAAACGTCCCCGGCGGTCCGTGTGGGCAGTGATCTGGCTTAAACCACGCTGTGTGGATCGATTGAAAACCGAGAACCAGCTGGGAAGCAGAGTGATCAGGGATGGGGCTTTTGCTCAACCAGACGCAGATGGATTCTGGGGGAACCGGGGCTGGGGCAGTTTTCACCCTCACGATGAGCGCGGGGGTCCTGACCCTTGCTCTCTCAACCCGGGCAGGCCGATGTGTAGCAGGTTAAATCCACTCCGGGTTTTACCTGCCTGGACAGCTCGCGGGGAACGGGAGTCGTGAGTTTGTCTCTTGAACGAGGCCGGGGTTTCGGCTTCGGCGAATGGTGGGGGTAGCCTGTAACACGCTCCCACCCTCCTTTGTGTACGGTAGTGCCCCTTGTCCTCTGTTTTAAATGCCCTTGATCCCAGATCCTTCTCTCCTGTCCTCCGAGCTCAGTGTCCTAGAGTGTGTGAGTGGGCTGGCCTGTCATGTAGAGCACCAGCCGAGTGCAGAATCAGTTTGTTAACGAGAATAATACATGAACAGTTCTCATCTGATACAGGAGCAAGTAGCAGGCGAACAGCCTATCTGGGAACAGAAAAGGCAACTGAAATGCATGTTTGTAATGGAGTAGTGGAAGCAAATTCTTGTTTTCAAACGCAGGTTCTGCACGACACAAATGAGAGTCTTCTCCTCCTTTCCTTTTCCTCATCTCTCGCTCTCCCCTGCGTTTCCTGTCTCTGGCTTTGCCCTCTTCCTCCTCCTTCTCCTCCTCTCCCCTGTCTCTCACGCCATGTCTCTGTCTTCTGACCCCTCTCCTGGTGTCCCCTGTGTCCTGATCTCTCTTCCTCTCCCCTCCCTCCCCCTCTCCTCCTCCCTGATCTGTCGGTAGGGATGTGCTCTGATTAATAAACGCCTCTCTCTGGCTCGGCACAGTGTCGCTCTCCTGCACCGTCCAGCCAGCCCGGGAGTCCACATTAACCCCCCCCTCCTGTCTATTCCATTCGTTACAGACAGCATGATCCGCGTTGGGGGGGACTACCAGGCATCGATCCCAGAGTACAAACCAGGTAGGGAGCGGGCGAGCCAGCGGGAGAGAGGGGGGAGGCAGGGAAGGTGATTAAGATGGAGAGAGGGAGACGGGAGGGGGGAGGGCGAGCCGCCAGGAGAGAGGAAGTGGGTGGAAGGAAAACGGGGGGAGGTGGTGGGGGGGAGGGAACTGCAGTGACTAGGAAAGCAGGAGCAGTTGGGGAAATGCAAGAGGAGAGTGTGTTAGCGTGTCTGAACCCACTCCGCGTTTTACAGTGGCAGTCGGACCCCCACTACACGCGGGTCTAAACCCTGGAGCGGGTCAGCCTGCCGTGCAGTGGGGTTGCGATGGACACCGGTGTGAGCCCCGGCGCGGATCAGGCTGTGGGAGTGTGATTTTCATGTCTGCGTGTGTCTCCACAGACAGTCCTGCACGGTACAGCGACAAGGAGCCCAAAGGCATGCTGGTCTGGTCCCCCAATCAGCACATATCCGATGCCAAACGTAAGGAGCACTTGTGTCTCTTTCTCCTGTTCTTCTCTGCCGTCGTCTGTGACCTGCGCTCTCCATCCTCCTGCCTCGCCCTCCGTGTCCCTCCCTCCCGAGACGAGCAGTAAATCGGGATGACTCCAGATTGCGGAGGGGGAAGGGAACCTGAGCGATCCTTTAAGATAATAAGAGCTGTTGGTCTTGATTCTTGCCTCTGGCGAATCCAGCAGAGCTCTCACGCTCTCCTGTCTCTCTCTCTCTCTCTCTCTCTCTCTCTCTCTCTCCGTCTCCCAGTGGACGAATACATCCTGATGGCCAAGGAGAAGCATGGATACAACATGGAGCAGGTACAGTCCAGCCACCACGGACCGCAAGGCCTTCGTCACGCTGCCCCCCCGGGCACTGGAGGGCGCTGTGTCCCAGGGGAACAGCAGCCTGCCTGCCTCCCTAACCGCAGCCTCTCTCCCCCGCGCTCCGGCGCTCCAGGCCCTGGGAATGCTGCTGTGGCACAAGCACGACGTGGAGAAGTCCCTGGCCGACCTGGCCAACTTCACGCCCTTCCCCGACGAGTGGACGGTGGAGGACAAGGTGCTGTTCGAGCAGGCCTTCAGCTTCCACGGGAAGAGCTTCCACCGCATCCAGCAGATGGTGAGGAGCGGGGGCACAGGGGCAGGGGGAGGGGCCAGCGAGGGGGAGGGACAGGGGGAGGAGTTGAAGGGGAGGGACTGGGAAGGCCTGGGGGAGGAGACAGAGGGGGAGGGGCCGGGGGGGGGAGGGGGGGGGGGGGGGGGGGGGGGGGGGGGGGGGGGGGGGGGGGGGGGGGGGGGGGGGGGGGGGGGGGGGGGGGGGGGGGGGGGGGGGGGAGACAGAGTGGGAGGGGCTGGGAAGGGCTGGGGGAGGAGACATAGGAGGGGCCTCGGAGGGGGAGGGGACAGCTGGGGAGGGCCCATGAGGGCAGGAGGCGGGAAGGCAGAGAGACTCACGGTCTGGTGCTCTCAGCTCCCAGACAAGATGATCTCCAGCCTGGTGAAGTACTACTACTCCTGGAAGAAGACCCGGACGCGCACCAGTGTGATGGACAGACAGGCCCGCAGACTGCTCAGCCAGAGAGAGAAGGACGACAGGTGAGGCCTGGCGAAGTCTGGTCCAGTCACAGCCTGAGGGACAGGAGTGACCACTGTGGACACATCGCACACTGCCCAGTATATAGTGTCCAGTCACAGCCCAGGGACAGGAGTGACCACTGTGGACACCTCACACACTGCCCAGTATATAGTGTCCAGTCACAGCCTGAGGGACAGGAGTGACCACTGTGGACAC